TATGTGTTCAGAGCTTATGCAACTACTGAAGATAGGGGCAGTTCCTCCTCTGAATTTAGGCGACAACACTCAGTTCCAGCCTTGCCTTTCTCAGCCTCCGGCCTCGATTCCCTCTCTGCAGAGGCCACTTTGTCTACTGCATGTGATCGTGAGGGGTTGTGAACTGCCTTGCCCCATCAACAGCCATGTGTGCATGTGTAAATACCATCCTCTGCGTGCCCTGGATACTGTCCTTCAGGTAGCACGTGCAGGTGCCAGCATAGGGCCAGGTGGCTGCCTGTCCCTACCGAGAGTGCAGGGAACTCAGTACTGTCAACTCCTCGATCCTGCAGGTCAGATTGTCCTTGTAGAGGCTACCTGGATGGCACCAAGTTCGGCCCTGGCAAGCAGGTGATCCTGACTTAAGAGCCCTTGCCTGAGGGCTGGCCTAGCAGGTCTGCTGTTAGGAGCAGGAGGTGTGCAGGGGGTAGGGAGCAGCCCCAGCTTCTGTGATCTTCTCCATGGCAGGATCTCCCAGCGGGTAGAGCAGAGCCGGAGGCAGGTGCAGGCCATCGGGGAGAAGGTCTCCTTGGCCCAGGCCAAGATTGAGAAGATCAAGGGCAGCAAGAAGGCCATCAAGGTATCCCCCATACCCCTGTGTCCTGAGGCTACTGAGCTGTCCCTCATTACTCCATGCCTCTGAGGCTGCCCAGTCTCTGCCCTGCTGCCCACCCGTACCTTGGGCTTTCCTCCCGCCCAGGCTCCCAACCCTACCCTCTCCTGCCAAGCAAGCCTAGCCCTCTGAGCCTCTTGGGGCCCCTCAGACTTGTCCCTGTGTCCACAGGTGTTCTCCAGTGCCAAGTACCCTGCTCCAGAGCACCTGCAGGAATATGGCTCCATCTTCACAGGTGCCCAGGACCCTGGCCTGCAGAGACGACCCCGCCACAGGATCCAGAGCAAGCACCGCACCCTGGACGAGCGGGCCCTGCAGGTCTGCTGGCCATGCACATCACACGGCCTGTCACACACCAGGAGGCCTGGATGCTGGGGATGAGCCAGGGCTGCCATAGGGTTCTGTCCTGCAGAGGAGGCTGACTGGGAAGGGGTGGCAGCTGATTTGGCCCAGCGCTAATACTCACTATCCCTTGGCCCCCCGACCCTCCCAGGAGAAGCTGAAGTACTTTCCTGTGTGCGTGAGTGCCAAGCCGGAGCCCGAGGATGACGCAGAGGAGGGGCTTGGGGGTCTTCCCAGCAACATCAGCTCTGTCAGCTCCTTGCTGCTCTTCAACACCACCGAGAACTTGTATGGCCAGAAGGCAGGGCCGAGGGGTGTGGGCGGGAGGCCCGGCCTGGCTTAGTGGGGACCGAGGGCATCAGACGCAGGTATAGCACCGAGGCCAGGAGCCAGGGGGTAATTGGGTGGCTTGGCTTGGGAAGCCTGAGACCCCATTGTGCACATTGTGCCCCTGATGGTGTGAGAGAGGTAGGAATGTGGGCTCAGGACAGCAGGTGTCAGCTTGCCTGACCCCCACGTCGCCCCTATAGGTACAAGAAGTATGTTTTCCTGGACCCCCTGGCTGGTGCCGTAACAAAGACCCACGTGATGCTGGGGGTGGAGACGGAGGAGAAGCTGTTTGATGCCCCCTTATCCATCAGCAAGAGAGAGCAGCTGGAGCAGCAGGTGGGAGGAACAGGGCTGGGGTGGGGACAGG